AAGGTTCACCCATGTTGTAGCATGGGTTACAATGTCTTTGTAAGACTAAACAATATTTCATTTTATGCCAATTACTGGTTTTGTTAGTCCATTAGCGTATTGGTGGGCATTTGGATGGCTTCCACATTTCCTATTGTGGGCAACGCTGCTGTGAACATTGGCACACAATCTGTTCAAGTCCTCGCTTTCCAGTCTTTGGAGTTTGGACCCCAAATTGGAATTGCTGGATCATATGGTAATTGTGTCTTTTAGTTTTTGAAGACCTGCCACACTGTTCCCACCGCAGCTGTGCTGTCTGACATCTCCACCAGCAAGGTACAAGGGCTCTAATTTTCCACATCAGTCACCAATACTTGTCATTTTCTCCATTTGCTTTGTTATTGTTTATAATTACCATTCTAATGGCTATAAAGTGGGTGCGGATTTGATTTGCATTTCTTTTTTTCTTTCTTGATGGTGATGTCTACAGCACGGAACAGATTTAATTTTGAAGAAGTTCAATCTGTCTATCCATTGTTGCTTACTTATTCTTTTGGTATTCCATCCAGGAAACCATTGCCTAATCTGACACTTTGTTTCCGTCTGTTTTTGAAGTTTTAACTATCATAGTTAGGTCTGTGATCCATTTTGAGTCAATCTTTGTTTATGGTGTGAGGAAGAGAACCAATCTGAGTCCTTTGAATTTGGATGGCCCACTGTTCCAGCACCGTTTGCCGAATGAAAGGCTCCCTCCCTACGTGCCTTGAGTTGTCTTGGCGCTGTTGTCAAAAATAAGAGCCGTAAGTGTGCGGTTTTATTTCTGTCCTCTCAGTTGTGTTGAATTGAGCACCGCCCTCATTGGCTTTAGAGCAAGCTTACCTTTGGGAGGGTTGGGCTGAGTTCTAGTAGAGCTCTAGTAGAGCACTGGCATAGTGTGTAGTAAGTCCCCTCAACGCATTTTTTTTTAATTTGTCAAGACAGACAGACAGACAATAAAATGGGAGCTATTGAGTCCTTCAGCTTTGTTCTTTTTTCCTTTTCTTTGTTTATTATTTTATTTATTTTCAGTTCCAGGAGTTGAGCGCAGAGCCTTGTTCATACTTGGAAAATTCTCTCTCTCAGTTTACTTTATGTGTATGACAGTTTGCTTGTGTGTCTGTCTGTGTGTGCTGTGTGCCTACTTGGTGCTTTGGGTCCCCTAGAACTAGTTACTAACGGTTGTGAGCCACCATGTGGTGCTGGGAACCAAACCCCCGTCCTCTACAAGAGCAACAAGTGCTCTAACTGCTGAGCCATCATCTCTCAGCACCCAGATGCTCTCTTTGAGGTATATCCCAGTCCTTGGTTTTTTCTATTAGCATAATTGACGCGTCTATTTTATTTATTTTAGATGGGGTTTTACTACTTTTCCACAATGTTGACCAGGCTAGCCTTGAACTCACATGTCTGTTTCCCAAATTCTGGGACTAAAGGTGTGCACTACCACACACCCAGCTAAGCCTTGGGTTTTGAGACAGTTTTCTTATGTAGCTCAGGCTGGCCTCAAGCGCTCAGTCATCCTGTTTGGGTTTCTGCAAGGGGCGTGTGTGACCACACTCACCTGACTCTTCCTCTTGTTTGTGTCAAGGTTTGACTTTGGCTGTTCTTGACCTTTTGCCTTTGTACATGAATTTCAGGATGTTTGTGCCTCTCACAGACACACTGACATTCTTAGAGAGACTGCATTGTCCGTAGACAGTTTGGGGAGTACTGCTCTCCCAACAACGCTGTCTTCTGAGTGCATGGCTTTGCATCCGTGGGGGTTTTCTGCGGCTTCTTTCAACAATGTTATTAAATTTTCAGCATACACATCTCTAATTCTCTTGTTAAATGTATTCCAAGTAATGTATTCTCGTATTGTAAAGAAATTGTTTTTATTAATTTCATTTTGTTTGTTTATTCCTAGTATCTAGAAATAATGATTTTTGCACATTGCACCCTGCAACCCTTATACATGTGGTAGTGCAGTAGTTTTTTAGTGTATCCCTAAGATGTTCCATGTACAAGCCCACGTCATCTATGAACAGAGGCAGTTTACCGCTTTTCCAGTCTGGATGTGTTTATTGCTTTTGTGTCCAAGTCTCCTACGGGGACCTCTACAGCAGTGATGAGTACAAGGGGTGAGAGTGGATATCTATCTTGCTCCTAATCGAAGAGGGAAATGAGTCATCGTTTACCATCGAGTGCAATGTCAGCTGCCGGTTTTTTAGATGTCCCTTGTCAGAATGAGAGCAACCCATCTATTCCTGCTTGCAGTGTTTGTTTTGTTTAATCATAAAAGGTATTGGGTTTTGTGACATTTTTCCTGTCTCAGAGACAGCAGTGCTGTGTTGTCCCTTTCTGTTTCTTTTTTGTTTGTTTGTTTTTTGTCTTTCGAGACAGGGTTTCTCTGTATTGCTTTAGAACCTGTCCTGGAACTAGCTTCAGTAGATCAGGCTGTCCTCGAACTCACAGAGATCCTCCTCCCTCTGCCTTCCAAGTGCTGGGATTAAAGGTGTGTGCCACCAATGCCCAGCCCCTTTCTGTTTCTTAATCTTTATTCCCATAGACAGGAACCGCTGCCCAGGCTTACATTAAATTCACTGTGACCCTGATTCTTCTTTTTCTTTCAGTTTTATTATTGTGTATATAATGAGGTACCTGTGTGTTTGAGTGTGAGCATGCATGTGCCATGGCACATACGTGTAGGTCAGAGAACAGTTTTCAGGGCAGCTGTGGGTTCTCTGCTATGGGTTCCAGAGACTGAACCCGGGCATTCGGGCTCACCACACAAGCCTTTTATGCACTGAGCCATCTCACCTCCCGAATGTCTGATGTTTTTAACTTCTACTTCCTTGTGCTGTATTACAGGGGTCTAACACCACACCTGGCTGATGCTGGGGATCAATCCCAGGGCTTTATGTATGCAAGGCAAACACTCCGTTAACTGAACTCCAACCTCAGCCATCTCATATTGATTTTTAAATTAAATCAAGCTATAATTTCTGGGATGAATCCCACTTGGTCATTGTATATAACCTCTTGTATATGTTGCTGGATTCAACCTGTTAGTAGTTTGTTGATTTTTCTTTTTTTCTGTATGTATATGTGATATTGGTCTATGGTTTCCTTTTTCCATTTTCTTAAATCTGTTGTCTGATACTGATTTCAGGATGGTATTGGCAACATCTAATGAATTGAGAAGTGTTTCTTTTTCCGTTTTTGGGAAGGCTTATGAAAAAAATCATAAATTCTCAACGTGTCTCCTGTCAGTAGGGTCTAGATTGTGGGCGGGGTGTCTGGCGAGCGTTTTTTAATAATTGGTTCAGTCTCTCAGGCTGTCTCTTACTTCCAGCAAGCTGATCATAGCTGTGAAAGGGGAGAGGGGTTCAGGGGTCCAGAAACTGGAGCGTTCCTCACTAACCCGCCTCTCCCACCTTTCTGCTTGGGTCTCCTGGAGAAACAGTCCTCCCTTCCCCTCCTGAATGAACACTGTTGAAGTGTGGACAACCCCCTGTGCCCATGTCCGGCTGGGAAAGATGGTTGGGTGACACCAGAAGGAATGACAGTTCAGATCAAGACAAGACAATCAAGGGCAGAAGCTTCCAGGCTTAGGCTGTGTGCAGGTGTGCATGGCATGTGTGATGTGTTCTGCTTTGCCATATGACACAGACATTTAGCAAAGGAGGCTCTCCACAAGCAGATGTGAAATGAGCTCTAAGATATGTAAATGAGTGAAACGTGGAAAATTGTGAACTCCCATCTATGTTCAAAGGAAAAACATGAGGGGAAGCTGGGGATGTAGCTCATTTGGTAGACTGCATGCCCAAAGCCCTGGGTTCTCTCTCCAGAGGACACAGGTTGGATTCCCAGCACACAAGTCAGCTCATAGACATCTAAAACTCCAGCTCCCGGGGATCTGATGCCCTCTTCCGACCTCCTCAGGTGCCACACAGCTAAGTGAAACACAGACATACATACAGGCAGTGGCGCAGGTCTGTAATCCAGCATTGGTGGCGCAGGTCTGTAATCCAACATTTGGAGGTGAACACAGGAGGTTCAGAAGTTTAAGGTCATCCTTGGCTCCCTGGGGAGTTTGAGGCCAGCCTGGGACCCTGTAGGTGCACACGGACTAGTAAATGCACACACTCTGAGTACTCAAGACAGGATTGGGACCGAGGCTCAGAGCTACATGGGAGTGCTCCCCTGTGGCTTTGCTACCAGAAGCATGTTCTGTTGGGGGTTTGTGTGTGTGTGTGTGTGTGTGTACACAGTATTGGCAGGTAGCCCAGGCTGGCTTTAACTTACCCTTGTGCTGTAACCTCCTGAGCGCTACGGTCGCATGCATGTGCCATTACTCCTGGCAATTTTTTTTTTTTTAATAACATGCCTTTGTGAAGCATGGGTCTGAGTCTGGGGTCACTGTGTCCCCACAGAGGTAGCCACCCCTCAGCAATACAGTCTGCTGTACTGTGCAAGGCACTGTCCTGACCTCCATTTACCCAAAGTCTCCAGTGTTCCTCAGAAATCCCCAAGTCTGCCTGTGGGAAACTGGTAGCAGATCCCCAAGGCTCAGTGAGATTGAGTGTTCCCTTTCTGCACTGATTTCCAGCACAGAAATCCCAGGGATTTATTCCAAGAATTCCAGCTTCCCTGCTTCCCGGTGGCCCCAGTGGAAAGCACCTCATTCTTGGCCTACTTGATCATCTCCTTCCCTGTGTGTAAGGGTACCAGAGAAGCATAGTGGATGCTAGAAGTCTTAGGCCTTCCTGGGCCAAGTGAGCATGCACACCAGTAGCATGTCCTTTTCCAGTGAAGGCAAACACATCAGGTCATCCAAGACCATTTGGTGTTTTGGGAGTAGCTGCAATTCTTTGCTTGTACTGGGAATGGGCTCATCAGGCTATTCTAGGAGGGCTGCATGGCTTCCCAACCTGGGCTTCTGAGTCTCGGGGCAGATTCCAGGTCTGGACCCAAATGCTGAGGATCTCCTGTCTCCACAGAGAACACCTTCTGTAGCGGGGACCACGTGTCTTGGCACAGCCCTTTGGATAACAGTGAGTCCAGAATTCAGCACATGCTGCTGACAGAGGACCCCCAGATGCAACCCGTGCAGACCCCGTTTGGGGTGGTCACCTTCCTCCAGGTGAGTGCCGTGAGAGGCTTCGTCCTTGTGGGGAGAGTCTAAGACAGAGGAACGTGGAGAGGGGCAGTGACCGGGCAGGAGGCTGCTCTTGCTCGTCTCTTCCCTGCCATGGCCTGTCTAGATTCAGATGGTCTGATTCCGCCCTCTGCAATGGCAGGGGCCAGAGGGACATCCCAGCAGAAAGCCAGCTCCAGGTTTAACCTATTTCCCCAGTGGGTGTAAATCTCCCCAGCTGCTGCCCATGCTTGGTTGCAGCTCTAATGAGGGCTAGGTGAACGGGTATCCTAGAGATTTACACAGATGTAGCTATTGTAGGAACAGCTGCCTGGCCACCCCTGCCTCCAAATACCTGGCCTGAGGGAGGACCTGCCGTGCCGTGGCTCAAGCTGCGCTTCATTCCTTCTGTAACCAAGAGCTAGGCTCTGTGCCACTGGATACCTGGTCAGGCCTTGGTGCCTGTCTGTGGACTCAGGGACCTCCCAGCCAGGTAGCGCCTCCTAAGGGAGCCACCACACTCTGGGAACACCAGCCTAGAGACACAAACTGCCTGTGTGCCCCTCCTTGAGATGCCCCTGAGAGAGTCTGGGTAGCTAGACATCTAGGAGGGGTGGCCATTAAAACACAATGGCGTCTTGTCCTTGGCCACAGATTGTCGGTGTCTGCACTGAGGAGCTACACTCGGCCCAGCAGTGGAATGGGCAGGGCATCCTGGAATTGCTGAGAACTGTCCCCGTGTGAGTATGTGTCCCTGTACGGTGAAGGCCTGGGCCCCTTGAGGGTGGGTGCCCTCCCTACAGCCCTCCTATAGGGCCCTTTGCTTTGCTGTTTGGGGCACTATGGTCCCTGGCCACTAACAGTGCCCCGTGTGTTCTGGGTGGGACAGCAGATAAGAAAAGCTGTTGAGTAATGATCAGTCCAGGCCCTCAGTTACCTCTGTCTCTCCTTGTCCACAGTGCTGGTGGTCCCTGGCTGATAACTGACATGCGGAGGGGAGAGACCATCTTTGAGATCGATCCACACCTGCAAGTATGTCTTGAGTGAGGAAAACCTTGCTAGCACACTCTTCCAGATACCACTGGCTTCCATCCCGAGAAAATGGAGGAGCTTTGTGCATGAGCCAGTAGAAATATGGCATGGTCTGAAGCGTGTCCCCTGAATTCCCCATATAAGAAAACAGATTTCAGCCCAGAAAAGCAAGCCTGACATATGTCTCTCTGCATTTAAAAAGAATGGATTTTCGTGTATGTAAATTACATATCAAAATTAGACTACCACCGCCAAAGGAAGGTAATGAAGGGATGCAGCTTGCTTGCCCGGTATCTCCCCCCCCCCCCAGCACACGTTTCCAGGGAGCCAGCCTGCCTGTGCCGGACTGCAGCACGGCCCCGTTGCAGGGTGGGTGCTGAGTGATCCAACGACCCTGTCATAGTGACAGTGGGGTCTTCAGCCCCACTGTGGCTGCCTGGACGGCGTCGCTGTCGCCTTTGGTGCTTGAGAACTCGAGATGCTCATTTGGCACTCGGCTGGAGTTTGGAAGCCACAGAGCATTGCTGCAGTTCTTGCATGCTGTGCAGGGGCAGAAGCAGCAGACCACACGTCTGCCTTGTGTCTGGCTCTCCCTGCTCACCGTGCCACCAGAGGCAGGCCACGGCCACCTCTGAACTTCCCGTGCTTCTATGGGCCTCACAGTGACTAGGCACTTCAAGTCGTACAGTGGGGGACAGGCGAAGAGAGACGTAGCCCGTAGCCCTGCCAGTCGGTTGCTGCTGACCTGTGAGTTCTTGGACACACGTCCTCTCCATTCACAGATGAGGCTCCTCCACTCTCCTTTAACCCTGCAATGCTCATACTGCTGCCAGGATCTTTTGTTATCTCTACTTTGAACTCACTGTCTGTGTAGCTTCTGCTTATGTAAGAGCCAGAAGCCATGATGGCTCCATCCCTAGGCCCATGTTCAGCAGCCACACTGGGGTCCAGCATGGGGCACTGTGGGCCCTTGCTTGGCCCCTGTCATGAGTGCCAAGTGCTGCGTGAGGCTCTCTGAGACCCCAGCCAGCAGAATCCATAGCACCCTATGGTCATTACCTGTGGGAGAAAATGTAGCTTGTTTCCCTGGCGGCTCCATGCATCAATACTATTTACCTGTGCCCTTCTGGCACCTATGAACAGGGCAGCCACTGGCAAGAAAAACCGGAAGATAAGGGCATGCCCACTCTTGCCCATGCCTCGAGCACCTAGAGTTGTGTCCTGCCTGCTTCCAGCCTCACCCAGGCTGAGGGCAGCACCGGAAGAGAGAAGAAAGGGTGACTTATAGGGTGGAGGCCACCTATGGCCAAGGCGTAAGAGCAATGCTCTTGTCTTGGAGCCCTGGAGAGGGACAGGCTGGCACAGGTCAAGTTTGAGCTTTTTTTTTTTTTCTTTGTTTGTTTTGTTTTTGAGGTGCATAGTCACAGGAGGTTTACTTGATCTACGTGGCTGTTTATGGACAGGGCTGCTAGAGCCTTCCAGATGACCTTTGATCCAGAGCCCAGCACCACAGAACTATGTTTTACCAGCAAACCTGGGCTGTTTTGAGCACAGCTCTTCCTCGAGGCCGTTTGGAGAAAGTTTAGACTTAGCAGTGCCAGTGTCTACACAAAGGCAGGGCCTCTGGGGGAAGTGTACAACAACAGTCACTGCCCTCCAGACCCCCCTCTCAGCCTAGGAAGTAGAAAAGGACCCCATCCAGAGCCCTTTGCCAAAGTTAGCTGGCACCTATACAGAGAGCACTTCTGCTCTGGAGCGATGGCCCCCTCTAGTAGTTATAATGAGGAACTGCAGGCATGGGTTCCCAAGTCCTAACTCTGGGGGGGGGGGGCAATGGCCGTTGTTGGAAGATCAGGAAGAGAAGGCTTGGGCCTTTCCTGAGATAAGTAGCTCTTGCCTGAGCCACATGAGCTCTGAGGGCTCTCGGGAGGGACTGAAAGAGGCACAAAGGCCATGGTAATGGGGGTTGATGAGAAGCGAGCATCCCCAGCACATTCACCCCTCCTGGCTTCCCTTAATCCTGGTCCCCAGAGGAGTCCAGGGGCTGGCAGAAGCCACTGTGCAAGAAACCCTGGTCTTGCAGCAGCCATCCACACTCAGCGTCTGCACCGCTAACACTAGAACAGTGGCTGGCTGGCTGGTGGTGTGACTGCGGATCGATCACCAGTTCTCTGAAGGAACTCTGACTCTTTGGTTCTTTTCAAGCAGGAGAGAGTTGACAAAGGCATTGAGACAGATGGTTCTAACCTGAGCGGTGTCAGTGCCAAGTGTGCCTGGGATGACCTCAGCCGACCTCCCGAGGATGATGAGGACAGCCGGAGCATCTGCATCGGCACACAGCCCCGGCGGCTCTCTGGCAAAGGTTGGGACCTTCCCTCCTTGCCTTTTAGGCTCCCCAGACAAATCTTTAACCAAATGGTCCACTCTGGTTTATTTTCTGACAAATGAATTTTTCCAGTGGGTTGAGCATATAGATGAGCATTATTGGCCTATTTGTAGCTGTTATGTTATCTGTGTGTGCTTTGAACACACCAGTGGGAACTATGTGTATTCCCTGCTCCTTGAGATCTGAGACCATGCACATGAGTGGAAGCCATGGAACAGTTAATAGAGAAAGTCCACAGTCCACCTAAAGACAAGACAGCAGATGTCCACCACCCACAGAACTGACACAGGTCCTGGACCCTCCTAATGGCCATGCCAAGCCAAGCCTGTGGATCTCTCTCCTGGGGCCTGCCTGGGCTTTTAATGAGAGTGGCCTGAGTGTGAGCCCCCCACACTACCCTACACTGTAGTTTGAGGCTGTGGCAGGGTGCCCTGTCCCTACCCTCCAGGGAAGGTCTTGGACAAGGAGGATGTGGCTGCCCTGTTGCTCCCTATGCTGGTTTTGGCTACAAAAGCACTTGTGGTTTTGCTAAAGCTGTCCCTAGCTAATGCCAAAGGAAAAGCGGCCATTTGCATCCATGCATGTGGGAGGCTCTCGGCTCCTTCTCTCGGTTCTTCTGTCTCGTAAAGCTTACTGAAGATTAAGATGCCTTCAGCCCTGAGCCAAAAGCTGGCCTTGTTGGCTTTTGAGACAGAGCTAGCCCCCAACTTACTGTGTAGCCAAGGATGACCTTGGATCCTCCTGCTTCCAACCTCCACAGTGTTGGGTTTCCAGAAGGACCACACTGGCTTTCTTTTTTCTTCCTTTCTTTTTGGTGCTGGGGGTAAAAGCTGGGCACAGATTCTGCCGTGGAGCTGCTGTTTCTCCCCACTCCATGGTCTGTGAGAATGCGCATAAGAAGATTTTCCTGCAGGGGTCAAAGGGTTCACACACAGCTGCTTTTGACAAAAGGGTAACTTAGGAGAGGTTGGCGATCTTGTCCACAGCTGCAATCATCATTGCTGTTTTGTTTATTGTTCATTTATTTTTCAGGCAAGCTCTCTCTCTCTCTCTCTCTCCCTCTCTCTCCCCCCTCTCTCTCTCCCCCCTCCCTCTCTCTCTCTCCCTCTCTCTCCTCTCTCTCTCTCTCCCCCCTCCCTCTCTCTCCTCTCTCTCTCTCTCCTCTCTCTCTCTCTGTGGCATAGGCTGGCTTCTAATTTCCTGCCTCAAACTCCCTAGTGCTGGGGGTCTAGCCATGCACCACCATGCCCAGCACTGTTGTTTTGGCTTTTCTTTTTATAAATTTGTTTAACAACAGCAGATCACACAGCAGAGTTGGTGGTATCTTCCCCCCCAATACCAGCCCAGCCCTCCCCCCCCCAAATACCAGCCCAGCCCTCCCCCCCCTACCAGCCCAGCCCTCCCCCCCCCAATACCAGCCCAGCCCTCCCCCCCCCAATACCAGCCCAGCCCTCCCCCCCCCCCAATACCAGCCCAGCCCTCCTTTTCTTTTCTTCCTGTGTTAGGAAGTACGATCTTGTAAAATAAGAAAAAAAAATTATATATATATATGTGTGTGTGTGTGTGTGTGTGTGTGTGTGTCCTTTTTTTTTTTTTTTTTAAGGGTTGTAGACGCTTATTGTGTGTAGCCCAGGCTAGTCTCAAACTTGTCGAACTCCTCTCTCAGCCACCTAGAGCTAGGAGTCCTGGTGTGTACCACCATGCCCAGCATTTTACCAGCACACTGCTGTCCTAGGCTCTAGAAGAGGCTGGGAGGAAGGATTGCTGAGAGCCCAGAGGGTCACCAGGCAACTTTGGGCTATATCATTGCAGACACAGAGCAGATCCGGGAGACCCTGAGGCGAGGACTCGAGATCAACAGCAAACCTGTACTTCCACCAATCAACCCTCAGCGACAGAATGGCCTCACCCATGACCGGCCCCCGTAAGTGTGTTCCAGGGCTAGAACTAGAGGGTGGTATTTTTCCTGAGGGGTCATGCCTGGGGATTGCACGAGAGAGAACAATGCACATGGCTCTAGCTGAAGGGACCCAGGGTCTCTGGGTTTAAGGGCACAAAGACCTGTGGATTGTAGGAAAGGACCTCAAAGGGCACTCTGCAGATCATATATAAACAGCAGTAAATATTTACATGGGCTGTGTGAACAGAAGAGAGCCCAGGTCAGGGCAAATCTGCCTAGGGGCCTCTCAGCCTTGTGGGAGCCCATTGTGCTCCGCCGGTCCCTCCTTATCTCCCCCTCGGTCAGAGTTGCCCTTCCTTCCTTCCTGGAGCCTGGGCTCTGGCTGATAGCTGCAACCCCAGGGACCTCGTCTGGCCAGCCCTGTACTGCATGCCTGCTGCTGAGGCCCTTCTTCCTGCCTGCCTTTCCTGGGGCCCAGAGAAGGGAGGGGAAGGCCTTAGAAGGCCTCTGCTGCCTGTCTGGGCGTCCTGGAGTCCTTGGGAGAAACCAGCCAACCCCAGGGGTCAGACCTGCTTCCTGCCCACCTCTTCCTCTGTTAGGAGGCAAGCGGAGAAGAAGGCCTGAGCTGGGCACCCTTCTCTTCTGGCCTGGATGCCTAGGTGCTGACCGCTGACAGCAGGAACCTTGCCTGCCCGCAAGGACATTGTTGGGCCTTAGGTGAATACAGAGCTGGGTTAACCCTGCAGGACTAGGGTGATCCGCCCGCCTTCTAAGAAGTCTTCACTGTAGCTTGTTTTGTGGCAGCCTCAAGCCCTGGGGGGGTCAGCTGGGGTGCACAGGCCTTCCTTTGGGGGAACATGAATGAAACAGTGGACTGTTGGTGGCATGTGGAATTGGACTGCGCACACAATTTGTCGGCAATGACCACAGCTTTGGAGTCAGGGTCCAGTTGCTGATTCATGGTCCCCAGAAAGATGAGTGACAACACACAGCAGGAGAGAGCATCATCATCTGAAGTAGGCCACGTGTCTTGGAGAGAGAGCATCAGATTTTACCCTAGGTGGCACCTAGCATGGGAAACTGCCCAAGGGACTGGGGGAGGGGGCTGGCTGCTTAACCCCGAGGATACATCCTGGGAGCAGATTATGGTGTCTGACTCTGGGCATACTTTGATCCATTGTGACTTACCTCTCGAGTCCTCGCCTTGGGGTCTCCTGGATCTGCTCCATGCCCCGCCGTCCAGAAGCTAGGATTGAACTCTCTACCAGCATGGAGAGGCCTTTGCTGCAAGCGAGTGGCTTTCTTGGGTCACTTGGGTTTCGCTGTGGCAGTAGCAGATGGCCAAGCTGTGCCATGGGGCATCTGGAAGCTTTCCACCTGCAGTCTAGGCCCTGACCCAGGGCTATACTCCTCCCTGGGTCCTGAGTGTGGCTTCTTGCCCTGGGCTTCTCTGGCACTGGCGGGGGGGGGGGGGGGGGGGCAGGCCTGAAGTTCTAGTGGGCTTGTAGCCTTGAGTAATTTGTCAGGAATGTGGAAACAGTCACCTTCCAAATGTCCCGCCCACCTCTCAAAGAAGGCCAGAGATTTGACAGAGCTCTTGCAGGAATACCCCTTGTTACACTCTGACCTGAGACACGCCTGAATTCACATTCCCTTTCTTGTTTCTGTGTCTGACTGTTGTGCCCCTACACACTGCAAGAGGCACACACCGGGCTCTCGGTTCCTGTAGACCGCTCAGCTGGGCAGTAAGGCCACGGGGCTGCAGGGAGAGGTCCCCTCTGTCCCCACTCTTCGCCCTCCATTAGCTGACATAAGAGATGGGTGAGAACAGACCAGAGGTGCATCCTCCCTGCAGCTCCAGGGCCCAGCCAGGTCCCCAGAGCGCTGAAGTCTGGCGTCTGCAGGGGTCAGAACCTCTCCCGAGGTTCTCGGTCCTGGTTACCAGTTTGTTAACAAGCAGTTGAGCAATGGTCCACTAAGACCGTTCCCCCACATGCCCTCAGCTCTCCTGAGCCTCGCTCTCTGTTGTCTCGGGCTCGACAATGGTCAACTCAGCAGAGAATAGCAAGATCCATTGTAATATCTGTGCTGCCCACTCTGGGACCTGACCTCATTTCACACTCACCATAAAGATGGTGACAGAGAAAGCCAGTCCCAAATGTGCTGGCACCGGACTTGTCCTTCTCCCTCTGGAGAGCTGCCATCACAGCAGGACCCTATTTTCTCTGCCTGTCCAGTTCCCCTTGGTCAGGACTTTGGTCTGGGCAGCTCTGATGCATGGGTCTCTGTGGGTCTGGGAGGTTACGGGGATGGATCAGCTTAGAACAGCCCATCAGGCCTGGGCATCAGCAACTGGATCTGGCCTACTTGGGGAATTGGGCTAATTTCATACATCCATAGCAGCCAACAGTTCATACCAATATTGATTTAATTCATCCTCATAGCCACTGTGTGAAGTAAATAGTCTTGCATAGTTCCCTTTTCCAGAAGAAACACTTGAGATACAGGGAGCTGATAAGTAATTCAAGGCCATCTCAACAGCTGTGGGCCCCCTTGCCCTGTGCTCAGGGACCCTCTGGGGACCTGCAGGCCATGCCTCTGAGGTAATAATGATCTCACCTGGGGAACTCGTGTTAACTAGCTGGTTGTAGCATGACTAGGGACAAGCTCTCACATGACCCTGAGGACAAGCTGGGCACATGTTAGAAGATGACTGGGTTTATTTAACTGTAAGGAGGACCTCTCATTAGCCCCGGTGATTCTAGAAATAATGAGCTCTGTCATCATAACTGGCTCATTTATAGCAGAATTACTTTCTGAAGCAGGCCTTGTTTCCTTCTTCAGAAGCAAACATAACCCTATCTCTGGCTCATGTCCCACCTCAGGAACAGGAAACTTCTTCCTTTCTGAAGGCCCTAGTTCCTGCTTCCCAGAAGGTAGCCCCTCTGCGTTACCTATTTTCCCACCAGCCCTCCTCCTACTGCCTTCCTGGAAGGAGCATTCTGGGCCCTCTTTGGGGCGTCTTCAGCATTTCACAACCCTTGCATTCCAGCCATGAAATTTGTATCTGCCTTTTCCCAAGATGACCAGTTGAGAAAAGCCTCCTTCGGCTTGCTGGCGCCTCCCTTCCCGCCGCCTGCTCGGGTGAATTTGGGAAGCCGCTCTGTGTGCCACTTGAGACAGCCTGGCCAAAGCTATGCCTGCCAGCCCTCTCTGGGACCCAGGGTGGCAGTCACTGAACGTCCTGTCTCTCTGAGGTCCCTGCTCAGCCAGACTCTGGCATTAGCTCCCAGCCTCTCCATTGTGATGGTGACAGGCGGGCATGTGTGGTCAAGTGTGTGCATGGGACAGTCTGTTTCCATAAACTTCCTGCAGTGTTCTATGCCTCACTTAGCCCGTGACTCACTCACTGAGGAGGGGAGCTCCACAAAAGCCCTCTGGGTCTTGCATCTTCCCAGAGAGGGGCAGGCATCGGGTGTGCATGGGTGTATTGGAGAGAGAGGGCTCTAGGGTGATCAGGGGGCCTCTCAAAGGCAAACAATATCACTGCTCAGCCAGGTCCCTGTCCATCTAGACTAGCACCTGAAGTTTATAAGGATGCTCCCTCCCCTTAATTGCCTGGAGAATGGTTGTTTCCTAGCATGAATTCTCCTGTTGTGACAGTCCATCTGTAAGATTCCCAAATACACACAGACACACAAGGACGTGTACATATCTCTCCCTCCCTCCCTCCCTCTCTTCTTTCATTCTATTTATTTCTTTCTGCTTAAGACGGGGTCTGTCTCTGTAGCCCAGGTTGGCATGGAACTCACAGTAGCCAATGGCCCAGGCCCCCTGTGTAGTGGGTTACAGGGAAGACCGCCATACCCACTCTGCTCTAAGAGTCTCTGCTCCCATTTGCTTGGCCTTGGGACAGGGTGACTTTGCTGCCTCTTATTCCCATTTTGAATAGTTTGTGACCTGGCTGGGGAGTAGTCCTTCAGAGAAAACTGTTTTGTTTTGCTCAGCCTATGGGACCCATGAAATGTAATTAGCTCTCTGGTTCTCATCTGCCTTGCCGGTGGATTCGGGTGAAGGGAAGGTGAGTTTCCTCCTAGGCAGGGAAGCTGGTTGCTGTGGTACCGCTTTGCACACAGGACAGATTTAGATGGCCCTGCTGTCGGGGTTGTGTGTTAGGGCAGTAGACAGCCTGGAGCCACTCTGTCACGGTGGCTTCATTCACAGTTCCCATACTGGCGGAGTACAGTCATTTGCCCTGGAGAGAAAGCCCAGAAAGAAGGAACCCTGCTTTTGGGGCCTCCACCAGGCTCCTCAGGGCTGACAGGAAACACCAGGGCCTCTCTGCTCACTGCTTCCTGGACTAGGGTCTTCCTTCTGAGTCCCTCATGTGAACCAGGTTGTCAGGCTAAACGTCTGTAGCCTTCCTCAGAAAACACACTTGAAAGGGCAAAGGACATCAGTTCAGGAAATCTGACACAGGTCAACTTTTGTTTTGTTTTGTTTTTTCAAGACAGGACTCCTCTGTGTCTTTGGAGCCTGTTCTGGAACTACCTCTGTAGACCAGGCTGGCCTCGAACTCATAGGGATCCGCCTGCCTCTGCCTCTGCCTCCCGAGTGCTGGGACTAAAGGCGTGCCCCATCACCGCCCGGCTCAACTTAAGTGTTGACTCCCATCTTTGTTCCACTTCTCCAAAGAGACAAAGCTGTGGCCATTATTCAAGGTTCCCGGCTGGTGCAAATCCTGCATCCCTCCCCCGAGTTGCACAATCAAAAGTATTTTTGTCCTCCATCCTTGATCCTCAGTGTCACCCAACACTTCAGCGTGAGTCGCTACTGCGGGGAAGGAAAAAGGAAAGTTGATTGAAAGAGGAGAGCTGAGGGAAGGAAGTGACTCAGGGTCTCCGGTTAGAGTGGGCTCACAGGGGTCCTACCCAGCCTCACCTCCCAAGCCAAAGGTGTTGACGGGTCCTGAGAGAATGTCCCAGAGCTCAGTGCCTGGGCCCTGCCATTTCACCTTCATACTC